GTTTATGGTCAGACAGATTACATTAAACTAATGAAATAATTGAATGAAATTGAGTACTGAATTGTAAGCACTGAGGCAAATAATGAGGCATTACGCCACGTTGTTCAGAACAATAAACTTCTGAATTATAATGCACCTACGGAATTAAATAATCATAAAATAATGTAATACGAATGAATTATAAAAAAATTCAAAAAAAAAAAATGGATAGAAGATTTAAGGATATTGGAAATAAAAATAAAAATAATTAATAAGTTATAATATAATATAGTGATCACCTTGTGAGATTCACAATATAGTAGTTAAAATATAAGGTTTGAAAATGTAATTAATAATTTCTGTTCGGTTTGAATAATAAATTTGATACGAATCTTACACGAAAGCAGATAACCTAAAATATTCGTTAAACGTAATTAATTAAATATTTTCGAGCTCAATCACTTATTCGGATAAAAGGAGTGTTCCTAAAGTATCATATGGCCAACGTATAATTTGGAAATTTGACACACGTTATACTCGAAAAAAGGTCATACTAGGAATTTTACACTTGTTTTTTTTTTGACAGTTTCGAAAAATAGCAACGATACATACAAAAAAACATTTACGTGGAAAACTTATTTTATACACCTAATCGATAAGTATGCATTTCAATTTATACATTATTTATGATAATTATAACAAATAATATAATTTTAAATAGTTAAAAATTATCCAAAAAAAAACTTTTATCATACAACATTGTTTGCTCAATATAATTTGATTTATATTTTATGTCACTCACTAATATTAATTTGGAACTTGCTTGCGTATTTATATTATATTGAATACATTATATGGACAGAGTTATGAGGTTACACACACCAGACTACTATGTAAGTTGTACCTACCACCGGGCGTGGGAGAAAATTGATCTTATATGTTTTTTTTACCATTTTTATTTATTTATTTACTAGTTTATTTAAGGTAATCGGCAGTTTAATATGGTTACAAAAAGATAAAATTGGAAATACTATATTTCATCGAACACAAATTGAACTGCCAACCGACAGTCTGTGATGTTATCAAGCTTCAGTGGCATAAGTACTACTAATAATTAATTCATGTATTAGGTAAATTGTGTATAGGAAAAAATTGTCGCCCATTCCACACTACATTGATTACTTCGTCCTACACATAAATTTCCTAAAATAAATCTAATAATTTCACGATGGGTTCACAAGCGGTCAAATCTAGCCGGTGTCCAAGCCGATTATTTAAATTAGATTGTTATTATAGCCACGTATAACATTATATAATATAGGTAACAAAATATATATAGGTACCGTAGACCACTACGAAACGGTGAACTAGAAAAACAATTACCTCCAAACCGACGGGTCTGATATATTAAACATGTTAACCACTGGTCATTCGCCTATTCCTATACAATATACCGACTACAGCTTATTTGAAATCCGATTAAATATGACAGATTAACCTTTCAAGAAAACAAGCTTCCAATTATGTTTACCCCAGCTGCAGCTAGGTCTGTGGGTTTATATTATTCATTACGGAAAATCCCCCCGAAGTGTTCGTATAATTTATAATATGTAAAATTATTAGTTTAACATATTGTTAGATATAGGTATTTACTACCACATATCACTTGTCTGCAGTCAATGTCGAGCAATAATTCCCAAAACGGTATATTAAGATTCGTTTAAATGAGAAAATTATTAAAAATACTTTCGAAACTGATACTGATTATTTGTTGAACTTAAACATATGGTTAGGCAGATATATAGCCCCTACCACCTACCAGTAGGTATTTACCCCCTATAATTTGTCTGCAGTCATCAGTGTGCAATAATTCCCCAAATGGCATACTAATGCAGTAATGCATACTAATTGCATTGGAATGAGAAATGTATTTAAAAAAAACATTCTCAACCGATAACAATAAACTGTGGGATTGATGACGTATATTATATATTTTAATTTCTAATCGAGTGTGAAATGTAACTTTTGTTTCTGGTGTCCCCTGCACAAATTAATAACCACATGTATATTATCTTTTCAGCTTTCAAAATGTGTGGCATTTGTTCATTGCAAACGTCTTGTTGCACTCTAAAATCTTTTTTGACTATATATTAATTGAAAACTCCAAGTTAAATATATGCTGGAAAAAGCCTATGATGCATTATCAAAGATAGAGATAAGTTGGTGAGTTTGATATTTGTATACGGTTTCTGTTTGTCCTATGAATATTGTTTGATGTGTAGAATGTATAAGAACAAGATATATTTAAAAAATGTGTAAAATTATTTGACCTTTGTCAAACAAGAAATCTATGAAATCGAGATATTGCCAAATCTTTGGTTAAAAATGAGAAATAAAAAATAGTATACAATACGTTTTATTAAAACTTTATAACTGTAACCATTTTTTTTTTTAAACGCAGTTTTTATGGCACGATGAAGGGCTAGTCGGATAAAAACATTCCAGATGAAATACTATTTTTTATAATTTATTAAACAATTATTTTAGCCAAGACATCCAATTTTCATTCCATCATACGGATCGATCTAGTAATGCGATATTACTTTTTAAAACATATTTGAATTCGTTATTATGTCTACTTGATAATTGGTCAGTCCACTATTCCCAATGTCACCCACCCAACCTCTAAAAATTTAGCTTGAATATTTTAAAATTTCGGAATTTTAAAACGTTGATTATTCTGGATTTATTTGGAATTCAAAGCAGAAATCTTAAAATGTGGACTGACCGATCTCTAAAAGAAATTCTAACGAATTCAGATCAGTTTTCAGAAATATTATCGCATTATTAGATTGGTATGATGGAACAAAAAAAAAAAAAAGGGAGCGGTAAGTTGTAGTGACGGTCCGCGATTGATTATAATTTATAGTTTATAAATATCTTGAGTATATTGATAATATAATAAAATGATTGATAATATATTAATATTTCACCAAACTACGTATATTATGTATTTATAATAAATTATTATAATTAATAAAATATATAAGTAATAACTAATAAGTATTAAATAAAAATTGAATTGTACTCAATATATTTTTGTCACGCCTGCACCGAAAATTTGGTTGTCACTCCTGTACCGAAAATTTAGTTTCGGTTGAAGAATTGGAAAGCGACCTTTTTCGGTAAAGTGGGAATGGGAATCCCCATAGTGCCGGGGGGAAAAGTGGAAATCCCAAAGAGTGCCGGGTGGTAAAGTGGAAATCCCTAAAAGTGCCGGGCTTACATATCGTTATAGGCGTGACAAAAAATAGTATGTGTGAAAGGGGAAGACCATTTCAGTCTTGTACGAAATGTCTCCCGCGACTGAAATGGCTCACTTCCCGCCCTTGCCACTCAATATACTATTATATCATGAAATCGTTTTCGTAGAATAATCTGATTGTTGCATATATCAGTATATAGTGCTTTACCTTTGCCTGGATTACATTTCTTTGTGTGTCGCGTTTGTTATAGACTAGGTAATGGAAAACGGGTATAACGCGACAGGATTTGAAACAGCGTAATAAGATCTGCATATTATGCATTTATAATTATTATAATTCAGAAACTATAACAATTTGGTGACATTAACATCAATTTTAATGATAAGAAATCGGAAACATTTAAAACTTTCCTTATGGACACATTCAATTTACATATTATGATAAACAATCCAGCAGCATCTACAAGACTACAATGAGAGATAACACCACTATCGATGCAGTACTTTCAAGATATTTGGAAAAAATTACATCACAAACACACGTATCATATTACAGTTATCGCAGAACTGTAATTTCTATTATTGAATACAGTTAATATAATAGTAATTAAATAATAATAATAATCATTTTCAATTTCATTTATTTTTTACATTTGCTTTTATTTTGAATGGTTCTACTAAAATGTATTTGTAATCTATAATATTTGTTGGAAAACAAACCTCATTTCTACCGGGTGTCCCATGACAGCGCTCACTTTTTATTTAACTATTAATATTATTCTGTTAATAATTTATTAGGTAATAGGAATACTTATCAGTTCTTAAGTATAGGAAAACGTTTAATTATATACAAGAAAGTAACGTTATAGATAAAATGTTAGGGGAGGAGTGGCCGCGCGTACTAAGGCGTCGGTTGCAATGCGCACAGTCACCGGTTCGAACCTCGGTCATGGGCGGCACTTCTCTCAGGGCAGACATCTGTTTCTAGGGAAAGGCCGTCAACCCCCCGACCGGGCATGGCAGATACCTACGGGTGCCCAAATAAAAAATTCTGCCAAAACAACCACCCACGTGTAAACAAATTTACAGTGGCCTCCCCCACAGCCCCGCAGGCTAATGATTTTGGTATAATATGAAGCCTTAACCCTAATAAAAAAAAAATGTATTCTAATTTAATTAGATCGTGAAGTGTCATCACTTATCAAAAGACGACTTCTTCCTTAAGTTATTCTTGCTGTATTTTTAAACTACACCATTACATATTAATGTACTTATTAGTTATTTATCATACAATTTATATATATTTTATAATAAATATAAACAAAAAGTTGTATTTACGTTAATTTTTGAAATTAAAACAACTATAGAGCCTAGAATCATAAGCTGTTGGCTAATGAAATTAAATATTAATTAATAATTCATCGTGCATCACTAAATTCACAAAAAGATTCAAATAATTTTATTTTGGAATTTAATTAATGTTTGATGTTATTCCATAATGTTAGTAAATATTAACAATTATAAAATATAATTACCTAGAGTATATTCAATTGAAACAAATTGATTATTATAGCTTGAACCAGAATCATTAACGCTTTCATTCCATCAACTTATTTGCAAGAATATTTTAATTTAATCAGATTCGGTTTTTAATGTAATCAAAATGTATTACAATGAAAACGTAAAAGATTTATGAATTATGATATGGAATTATGAAAATATATTTAATTAAAATTTGTATGTGATTATCTCTTACCATATTTCCGTTGAATATTGTATTTGGATTGTTGATTTTCTTTCATTTGCTTAACATTAGCACTTATATTATCAAAAAACTGCTTCAAGTCACTCATAACATCTGTTTAAACAAAAAAATATTTATTAATTTTAGAACAATCAATATACAATGAAATTAGTTCATATATATATTGATAATTCATTTTTAATAATTTTAGATGGTACATTATTTATTTTTTTCAAGAGAATATTTCCAACCTATACATAAAAATTAGTATTTATTAAAATGAAATATGCAACTGAAATTCTTGAACAGTCATACAGTTACGACAATTCTGATTCACAGATGGGATTTATATTTAGTTAATTTTTTAGTAAAATGTTGAATATGTACCTATTTAAGTGTGAAAACAAAATAAAATAGCATAAAACAATTACACAATATGATTAGGTATTTTTGGTGTTCCAAAATGTAAACGTAAAAATATTTAGATACATAAATATACGTTTTACCCAAAAATTAAAAAATTAAAACAGTAAAACTATACACACTATTTTAAAATGTATAATATTACATTGGAATTCAACAATATCTAGTTAAACTGTGTTACATTTTTATTTCAAAAGATAAAAAGTAAGTAAATATATGCAATTACGGCGGAAAGCCATGTAAAAATATTTTCTCATCATGTGTAGGTGTTTAAAAATAAATGTATTTATGTTCAAGTTTGTTATAAAATAAAACGTATATTGTATTTAAAAATGTCTTTGAATACCGTTTTATATTATTAATATACCAAAGTATTTTTTAATATTCTTATTGTATAAGACTTTTTTAATTTTCGTTGAAATCATGTAATACAAATGAAATAATAAACAATATATTTTTTTATGTATTTTAATTAGATTAAAATATTTAATTAAAAATATATTAAGTCATTAATATATTAGGACGTAGGAATTTGGTTAAATACAAATTATCAAAAAGAAATATTATTGATCATAATTTTTTGTTCAAAACTGTCTAGTAATAATTTGTGTTTACAGTTCAAACTTCAAATCATCAAAGTACCCTATGTATAAGAAGAACCCGTTAACTTAAATTTTGTAAAAAATTACTTCGTTAAGGACATTCATGAATAATATGATTAACAACTAAGTTTTAGGGAGGTAGATCCATGCGTCCTCATTTCCATTTAATATCAGATAAGCAAACATACAGCAAGAAACTTCTCTAGAATATTAATGCACGCGATGGATTAATAATTAGATAAAGGTTGAAATTTTGGAAATTATCACAATTTTTCTCTATAGAACATAATATAATAAAATAATTTGTACAAATATGTTTTCATCAAAAAAATTATATAAAACAAAAAAAATTAAATAGTAAATAAATAAAAATGTGTGTATACCTACTCTCTAAGACTTACCAATACTTTCATATGGAGTTAGAGAAGTTTGAGTTCGTTTCATCAGAGATGAAAATATGTCGGAACTTTTAACCTTCTTTTTATTTAATATATCTTTAGGGATATTACGTTCCAATAATTCTTTATCAAAATATAGTAGATCCCATATTGATTTAAGATTAGTTTTTTCGATACCTAAAATAATAATAATAACACAATTTATAAATAATATTTATCATAGTATATATTTTTATTAACATTACATATATTATTATTTCAGAGTAGATTTTAAGAAAAATGTGAAAATACTGTGAATTTTACGAAAAACCATTATATTTATATATATATAGTTATTAATGTACCTACTCAATTAAATTTATTTATTAATAATTTGGTTGTACAAAGTAAAAGTATATAGGTACTAGGAACTTTGAAAATGTTGGTCATTTCTTGGTAACGCAAATATGTGAAATATTGTATTTAATATTAAAATTAATTCACCACATTATTTCTGAGTTATTATTTATATAAATAATTTTAACGTGTAGTGGTAAATTAGTTTTATTTGTTAGCGTTAAAAGATATATCAACGTACCTCATGAATGTCAACTACATAAGTCTACAAATATTCAACCAACCCAGACAAATTAATACTATCATCGTGTATAAAAAATATATGGGTGTACTCTATAGTATGTCTAATTGTAAAACAGTTTCCATATTTCGATACACTCATTATATTCTTAAATTGCATAATGGAATATGAAATCAACCCCCCTCCGTTTTAACTTTGGTATCCAAAATCACCATCAACCAATTGACAATTAAAATAGTATTAGTATACTATTTGAGTCTGTGAAGCGAATGGTCCTTATTTATGAGCCACGATGACAGTGATTACAACAGGTGTTACAATTTTTTTGAACGGGGTCTTGTATAGGCAAAACAGGTACACGTCATATCTGCAGTCTTGAACTGAGGAGGATAGTATAGTAGTATACGTCAGTACGTCACTATACGGGTACTAAGATTTTTACAAAACTATGATAATAAACGCAATGTAACGAATCAGAAATAAAAATATAAAATGATTTTATTGTCAATAAACTTATTGATGAAAAATTCTCAAATAATTAAATTTAATACTTTATTAAAGCTTTTAAATAAACATAAAAACAATAATTCAGTATTGTAAGAAACTGCACACTAATAGTTATATAATATATACATATATAAATATTATATACCTATAGAGTGGCTATAATAAATATATATTTGTTAAAAGTTAAATCTGGGAAAGGCTAATCTTAATTTAATGAAGGTTTTGTTCGAAACCATTTAAAGATAAGTATGATAAGTATTATAAATTGATTTAAAACAATTGTGGTTAGCGTGTTTACATCATCAACAATAAAACAACATCTACAAGTTTTTATTTTCAAGATATTATATGAAACGTTATTTTTCAATTTAAAATATATTTTTGTTACCAAAGATCTTTTTCCATCAACCTATAAAAAAGTTTATATTTGCCTCCCTTATCTCATTTTTCTATTTTCACCATACGGACAAAGTACACACAACACAACAAGTGAAATACATATAGTTCAAATATGAAATATTATGAACTTATATCCACATATTTTTTTATATTTTTTATAATATCTGCAACTAGTTGAACTTGAAAAATAAAAAACTGAAATATGAAATTTCATATACGTGATTTGGACTCAAGGTGAGCTATCAATATCAGCGTGTGTCAAATCCACTTTTTATTCTGATATATTTAAAATTAATAACTAAAAAAAAGTCTAAACTATTTTAGTTTTTACTTTTTAGAAAATATACATACACTGGTAAATGAAATATTTTGATTATAGTATTGATATTATACTTAAAATAATTTGTTCTGTGAAATAACACAATTCTGTAAATTTTAAATTATTATTCGGTCAAAACTGCTTTTAATCTATAACATATTTTTTTTAATTGAGAAAATCAATAATTTTAAGGTGGATATTTAAACAATTAAACTTTTTTTATTGTTTTTATAGAATTAAAAAAAAAACTATAAAACCATAAATACTATAAATACCATACACAATAATTTTTTTTATAAATATAAAGCATATAATTACAATTAATGAATTTTACTCTCGTAAAGCTAAAAATCTTTTTTGAAAATAATATACAAGCTATAAATAACAGATACGTTTGCTCTAATATCTAAATCCAATTATTAAAATTATTTTAACCTACAGATATTTTACGAAGTGTGTTTCAATCAAAAATGTTTCAATTAAAATATAATTTTTATTAATCTTTTTGTGACTGGAACTTCTCAATTCAAAATAATAAAAATAATAAGAAATAAATTAGATTTGATGATAAGATTAGAAATGGTTTTGAAAAAAGTATTTTTGCAGAAAATTATTCTCGGGGCGCTATAAAAATGTTAATAAGTTATATGCAATATCTATAAAAAGATTAAAAATTGATTAATGTGCATTTGACAGTTCATTTTTAGAATTTTCAATAGTTTTTGATAAAATCTAGACCCTTTCTGGGTTCACCAAGGTCCACTCGCAATTGTATTTCAATTTTCGAATGCAATGATTTATTACTGCCTTGAAATGTTTAAATCCTTCGTCCAATGAACCACATAACTATCGACTTTCACATGATCAAATCTCGGTTTTTAAAATATATGCTAGTACAAGTATAGTTTCATAAAACTTTACACTAGAAATTATTATTTAAAAAAGTTACATATTTTAATTACACTACATGTCTGTTAATCTTAAAATCTAAATTTCTAACTTTTTCTAAAAAAAATTTCAGTCACCCCAAGGCAATACATACAATTTGTTAGTTACTCGTACTCGAATAATACTATTTTAATTTACCATTTGAATTAATGATTTTTAAAAGGTACTAAAAATATAGTTTTAACTTATGGTTATCACTCCCCGGAATTCCTGGGAAGGAATATTCCCGCTGCCGGGAATTCCTGACAGTGCCGGGATTGAGAATACCAAAATCTGTGAAACATTACAATTTATTTCAGTTATAGACAGTCACATCTTTTAAATTACATATTTTATACACAAGCATAATAATATTATATTACTTCATTCATTTTAATAATTTCAAAACTATAGTATAGAATAGTTATTGATAATTAAGTGCAGTTAATATTTTTAGCAGAAAAAACGAATTATTGTGTCCTGAGTATGTACCTAAATATACTTTTCGACTACTGAAAGAACCTTTTTAAGTGGTTTTTAGATTCTGAAAGGAGTGAATAAACTATGAAAAAAAATATCGAATATAAAGGTGAAACAAATGTTTTGTTGATTATTCATTGTTATCGTAACACTTAGGAACTCCAACAAAATGTCCATACGGCATACACCAGTGTCTTTGTGTACGGTGCCCGTAATTTATTTTACTTAAAATGGCACAAACGTTTATTGAATAATTTTAATTGAAATAAAACGGTCAACCACGAGTTTAAAAATCCTTTTTTCCTATATCATGCACAATGTCTAAAATCTACGATATTCAAAACAACTCAATGTTACAAATTGGAACGAGTGATCGAAAAATTACCGATTAGAGATGAATAATAGCAAAACTATACTGTCGAGAGGGAATAGAAAAACAATCAACGCGACAACGCGTATTTGTCAGTAATTGATTGACATCAAGTGCCGGAAAATTATTTCAAGATTGATTTATTCAGTCAATCGTGTAATTGACGTGATTATTTTATCATTTATCAAAACAATTTTGTTTTTCTACTAGAAATATTATGTAATTGACAAATTAATGTTGACATAAATAATTTAAGTTTAATTCCAGGACAATTGGCCGTACCTACCAGAACACTTGGTCGGGACCCCAGGACAAATGGACAATAATATATTCAAAACCGGCACAGTCCTAACCTAATGGCCAGCTCTGCATCAATTGTACCTATTCGCTAGTTACCAGTTACCACCCATTACCACGGATGATATTTACCTCGAGCTGTGTATACTTTAGATGTGACTATATTATATGAACTAAGGGCTTCAACATTTTTAGGCAGTGGGTTTATTTATTATTTTTTTAAAAATCTCTTGTACCATAGAGTTATATAGTAGTAAGCAAACAAATAAAAAAAGGTTATCAATAAAATTACTAGTTACTACAACGTATGTACAATGTACAATATGCTTTATTCTTTAAAATCTGTTCATGGGCCTCGAATACTCAAATAAAGATATTATTGCGGACCGAGGGTTGAAGACTCTTGTACAATATATACCTACTAACTAATATCTATTTTTTAGTCTTAAGTAAGTTGCGTCATAAGCTAGGATTCATCCATGCAATTTCATTATGATTCCCGACAAATTGTGTTTTCTTTGGAATTACTCATACTTTCTGTGATTATATTTAATTATCAAAATGTATAATGTTATTAATTTGATTGTTGTGGGAAATATATTGTTGGTAAGGTTCATAGACATAATATAGATGGACTGCGCGTTCCTCCCCCCTCGCCATCAATAAATTCAGCCATAATAACAAGACATGAGAAGGTAAAATAGCATGGATAAAACATTTTTACTGTTTTTATTCCAAGGTATATTTTGGTTTAAATAAGAGTGATAACTGATAAGACTTGTAAAGTGTATGTCTATGATTGATTCCGTATTTCCGTATCATGAAGGAAAGCTGTTAGATAAACAATTTTCCATGATTATTTACCTTCTACATAAGTTTATTATTGCTGACATGATAAGGGCTGAACGCGCAGTCTATCTATATATCTAGTCTATCTTATCTTATTATATGGTAAGGTTATTGATTTGATATAGCTCAAAAGTTTCATACAGCTCATGCCCATGCGCGTAACTGATTAGAAATTTGATACAAGTAACAGGTATTTAAGTATTTTGCGTCCAACAATGTAATGTTTTCAGTAAAAGTTGCAAACAATATAAACACAATAAATGATATTATAACAAAATAGTTTTTTTTGTATTAATGTTTTACTTTAACATGACTTATAAAACCAGCAACCGACAATCCTATATTATACTTACGTTAGATTTGAATGTTTAATATAATCATTAATCATAACTCATGAAATGTTATTTTTATACATGATATCATAGGTATTATTTACCTTTCTAAAATTTTGAATGGTTTTTGTTTTATATATATTATTATATTAATAAATATACATAGTTACCTACATTAAAAATAGTTATTATCGCTTAGTATAATATTATAAAACTTTATTTTTGTATAATCGTATACATTAATTATTATATTACATCTCTGCTAGTATAAAAGCAATATTATAAAACAATGAAAAAAATGTTTGGAGCCTTATGAAGTAGGTATAATGTCTCGACCAATTTTCTCTTATATCCGTGTAAAACAATGACATAATCCAACATAATATAAAATAAGTTTGCTATTTATTCTTTTAAATGCCGTCTTAACTGTAAATAATTGGGAAAACCTCAAATCTTTTAGACGATTCAAAGACTTATGTTTTCGGTATCATCTAAAGAGTAGTTCTATGTGAAACTTTTGCAGCCCCGAAATTTACGTTTTGACGTTAACTTGTAAATCAATAAAGAAATATCATAATTTATAATATGAAAAGTTACTACGTTGTATATCAAAAACTAAAATATATTTTTAAGTGATTACATGTTTTTTGAAACGTGTTTATATATACATATATACCATATCTAGTATTAATATGAAGGGTTATGAAATATCATGGAAGAAGGTTTTCTCTGATGTTTTATTTTTTTTATTATTTAAAAAAAAAAGGAAAACAAAATGTTTGCTTCTCATTTATTATCTCAGGATGGCAGTTTTCATATTACTTTAGAGTGGATCTAAGTACGAATCATCAGTCGGAATCAAATATCAAGAGGATTCGGGAGACTGGAACTACAAAACGGTCCACTCAACCGAAGCCCATGTAAAGCCACCGATATTTAGTGCTATGCATATGACAGAGAGAAAAAATAACAATTTAAAACAATAAATCAACATTTGAATTCTCTTAAACCTGCAAAACGTTCATACATGTTGTACATTTTACAGTGTATTTATATACGATATGCAATACAAATTAAAAAATGTGTTTTATATTTTATAGAATAATTCAATGGAATATTTTTAAAGGGTTTAATGTGAAAACTAAAATATTGAAACCGAAGAAGTTTCATTACCTAGTGGAAAATTAATATTAATTAATTCTTTTGTTATTTATTATATTATAGAAATACAGTAGTAATTCTATTTTATTTCATACCACTGAGGTTTTTAATTGAATATATTAGACAGCTGATGTTGGTGGGAGTTCCTTTTTAACCTAACGTATCATTTATCCTGATTTAATTGCATTAGTTATACTAAGTCGTAAAAGGAAATTTTTCATTAAGATAAAATAAATATTGGCCGGAAAATATTTTTTACAAACGCAAACCATAATAAAGTATACGCTATTATCAAATAAGCAAAGAAATGTAAAAACAAATTATTACAATACTGTGAAAATTATTTAAATGCTTTTGATGATTCCTATTTGTTAAATGCTGTTAGTTAACAGCGTGGACTTAACATTTTAAAATAATGGGTTATGTTATTGTAGGAGAATAATTTAAAGCAAAAACATTATCAAGCGACCATTTATCACCATTTCAGAATGTTTGGGGTCTAAAAGCATTATTTTGTTCACTGATGCGATGGAAACTTGAATTTAATTTCGCAGTGGGACATTTTAAATTTTAAATTTTAATAACTGATATAGAAAAACAATTAAACATGTATATATTTTTTATGAATAATAGGTATTATTTTATGTTAATAGCCATCTGGAAATATTTCTACGTATTCTATAGAGTGCATTTTTATTATTTTCTTAAAACACATTAGTTTCAATACATTAAGTTAAATTCACATACTATTGCATTATAATAATATATTTATATATATATATATTGTAATTGAATTACGAAAGCAAATACATACTATTTAAATGAGTAAATTTTGAATAATTTTAGAAAATATATTGCTTATTTTTCTGTATCTTAATACTTTACCTATTCAAATATAATAATGTTATTTATCTCATAAAATCTTAAATATAGAAAAATATACAATAAAATAATACGGTTTAAAATTATTTAATCGTAACTAATACAATTTTAATAATGTTACTACATTTAATATTTAAATACATTTACAATATACCAACGTTTATTAAAAGTAATTAATAATTTGTCATTTAATTATTACATATAATATTATATATTTATATGTAAATAGTAAAATAATCGTAAATATGTTATACTTTTTATGTATAAATAATTAGAAAATCGTTTGTTTACAAAAGCAAAATTGAATTAATACCACAATGAAAATATATACATTTTTTATTAGTTTATTTAACGAGAAATTATTATATTATAATGAAATGTCGATGAATCAAACTTGTAAAGCAGAAAATTAATCTAGTTGATATTTTATGAAATATAAGAAAACCTTAATAATTTGTAACTTTGTAAGCTCAAACATATGCTCATAATATTATACAGTTATACAATTTACGGAACAGTTATTAGAATCCAATGTATAATGGTATAAATACCTAATTAAATATAATATTTGAAAACTAATTACATAAAAAGAATAACCAAAAAAATTGAGTAAACACGTAAAAATTAAATTTTATAATTATTAAAGTTTATTTATACTACATATTTATCGGCTTTTGTAACATAAAATGAATAAATCATAATTTCGAATTTTAACTAACTTTTAAGTGAACACTTTTTAAATTAAGTAATTTTCAAAAATACTGCATATTTTATAGTATGAATATTATACAAAAAATATGGTATGAATATAATATTATATTTTTGCATAGAAAAATTAAATAGGTAATGCATATTAAGATTTATTAATTCTACATCAAATAAATAAAACCGCTGTTTTTGAATAAAACCTATTCGGTCTTTTTGTTTTTCCACTTATTATTCAGTTTATAAAAAAAAAAAATAATAATAAAATAAAACTTTAAAGACATTTGGGTTTTTGCTGGTAAAAATAAAGAAATAAAATTATTATGGCTTTGAAATGTATAGGAGTAGTTAAATTGTATTGGTTTATGAGTAAGAAAAATAAATATAATATATATAATAAAGAATATTTAATATTTATGTAAAAAACCAATATGCTATATGCCTATATTATCTGAATAAAAATATTTATTGAAGTTTTCGAAAACCAAGTTATCTTTTTTTTAAGTAATCAATTTTTTTCAACTAGATTATATGACATGAATATCTTTTTTTTTTTTTTTTTTATCGTCTCTATAATTTTATTCTGTTCCGTTTTATGAGTGCGCACTTTAATATTTAACTATCAAAAGTACAATTTAATATTTTGCTAAAACTTTATAATTCAAATATTTTTTAAATTTTAATATTATGAAAATTCTTTGTATTATTAGTATCTGGATTTTTATTAAAACAGTATCTCAAAACGTACAAATAAATGTACAATAGTTATTAAATGAAAAAATTAATTTAATTTTAATGTTTCGTCAAATGTCCGATTTATTCTATTATGTATATATTATATTTATGTCTATAACATGGTAACAATGTACACAAAAATACAATAATAGTCTAATAACCAATGTTTATGTAAATTATATTATATTTAAAATACAAAGTATTAATATTAAAAAAAATAAAATATTGACAAAATAATATTGCAGTTGAAATTGCTCAGTGCAATTAAAATATATCCTAGATTTCACGATTTATAATAAATAAAACAAATGTATTTCATATTGTTTAACTATGTTCAAAAAATTCGAGGTTTCTTTAATTCTATATTTCTGGCGTTTACCAATAACAATTTTAAAAATATTTTATTACTATGGAAATGATGTACAAATCGTACAAACATGTCCAAATATTAATTCATTTTATTATCGTTTTAATTTGACAATGTAAACATTCGTTCATAATAAACATTCATGTGTATTCTATTGAATTATTGATACTACGGTAAAATGTATGAATAATTAAGGACCGATACGTGTTGGACATTAAATTTAAAAAAAAGTTGATTAAATATAAATAAAATATTTGTAGGATGTATAATTTCGAAAAGTAATACAACAATTAATATTAATATGTAATCAAGAAATATTTTCAGTTTGTAAAGAATGGATACTTAAATATATAATATGCGTAAAAATAATTATTTTGGTAAACACGTATTTTTAAAACAACGTAATTAATGCAAAGTACGCTTACATATTACCTATTTATTTTTCTATTACCTACGTTTTTTTTTCACGAAAATAAATTGATATTTTATTTATTATGTTATTTAATATTTTTAGTTAATCCAATGTGTATGAAATATTTTTCAAAAAAATTAAAAATATAATTACAACTATAGTACCTACAATATTTTTATGTTTAGTATTCATAAATCTTTGAGTTATTAAAACTTAATATAAGTATATTATATTTCAGAAAATACTCTCTCACTATAAAATTTTTAATTTTTAAACGACACAAAAAACTGAAAATTAATTTACTACAGTTATAAAGTACACAAATAAAAGAAAGTAAATAAATATTTCTACCAAATACCAAGTACATTATAATTTGGTATTATGAAAAAAATAATATTTTTAACGAATATGAAGGTATTTAAATATTTTGTTAAAAAAATAGATTTATTTAAAATATTTTATTATTTAGGTACCTCAGTATTTACTATATAATTTACAGTATACATTTATTAAATAAAAAATATAGAAACTAAAATTTATATTTTGTTTTTTAAAAAAATGCCAGAATTATTTTAATATAATTTTATATCGTTATTTTTTTTATGTAATCATGAGTAAAAAAAGCTATTTATTATCAAAAAACCAGGCATTAGAAAATTAGGATTATTTTTATGTTCAAAAAATAAGATTTGATAATTTAAATATTATTCAACTTTTTCACATAAAAAACGTATATTATGAATTATTTAAATAAGAATGGCTTACCTCCAGAATTTTTTTGATTTATAAACCAAGCATTATTTTGATTGAGCAAGAATACCGACAAAGCCAGTGGGATTAGGACGTTCATGACGCGACGTTTGAACACGAATGACTTAATCTTCTCACCTAAGGGTCTGTGAAACACTAAACTGCACAAGTAAACACAGCCCATTCTTATGCCTCCCACTCTCTACTTTATTCTTCAATAATATTGCATTTTCATTTTCGTTTGCAACCCTGCGGTAATAATAATGGTCATTTGACAATCATCAAGTACAAATATATTAATATATAACGTTTAAGTAATATTATTTATAGGTTTATGTACGCAATTTATTTAAGAATTACAAATAATAATGATAACATTTTGTATTGGTATAAATAAATAAACGTATATTAATATTTGATGTGTAATGGTTTAGTTAATAAAATATTAATGGTTTTAAATTACCTACAAAATTATAAACTATAGTATTTTTATAATATGTGTATTTAATACAAAGTATTGATCTATGTATATTCGTTTTAATTTGTATTATTCAACCGAAGAATAACCGGTGTATTTAAGACGAGTTTTAGAAAAATAAATACTTAAACATAATGTCGTTGTACAATTATAGGCAGGTACTAATGTACTATGTACTATACTTAAGAGTTTATATAATATTCAAATATAATATAACTCGATACATATTAAAAAAAGGTGGGCAAGTGGGTGTCGCTCTGCTGTACAGTAGGTTACAAGTGGGTCATTGTATAATGGATGGTATTAAATTTGAATTCAATGATATAATATCATTGTATAAGAAAAACGATTCTGAGCGGAGACGGTATGTCCTTCTAGGTATAAGACATATTATATACATATCTATGGTATTAAAAAAAATTGACCTATAATGAATTCCAAATTAATCATATCACAATATCCATTAGGTACTTATAACGCGTTATACACCAACAACAAACCCTGATACTATCATAGATATATATAGTAGATTACTTTAGAAATTTCAAGTACCCACGAATAATATTATACAATCACAACAAAATAACTAAAATCGTAATTCTTGGTTTAAATATGAAATTTTGTCTAAATTTGAAATTAAAATGTCTGTAAAAAATAAGTGTGTTTATATATTTTTTAGATTTTTTGGTTACAGTATGAATTATTTAAGAGAATCTTTGTTTTAAATTTTCAACTCTTAGATATAAAAACTGAACATTTTATAATTTTTTAATTCCAACGATTGATAATTTTCGAGATTTTGATAAATTTTGTCAAAATTCCAACTTTAAATGCTTATAAAAAAATCGTGCCTATGTATTTTTAATATTTTTCAACTGATATTGTAACAATATATCAGGAGCCTTGTATTAAATTTTTACACTTTTTGGCCCAACAGATAAAACTTTATTGATATTTATAGAAAAAAAAACTAAAAAAAATTGAAAGCTGTAAATGTCCATAAACAGCTCAAAAAGAGTCAAAATATTTTCAAAATTGTATGGTGTATAGGAAATGCTAATATAAACATTCAGTGAAATTTTCATGTATCTACAGTTATTCGTTTTTGAATTACAACAAAATAAGGAAATCGCTACATGAGAAATCGAGTGAATATCCAATGTTGTAAAAATTTGAATTTCAAACGCTCATAAAATTTAATTTGACTGTCCGGTAGAGATTTTTTTATTGATAAAGGTAGATAATCTTATAAGGAATCTTGTGTTTCATTTTCAAATCTTAGATTTAAAAAGAAAAATTTTTACGAATTCTTAACTCAAAATAATTTGCTAATTTTCGTGATTTTTCCATATTTTGTCAATTTTTGAACTTTAAATGCTTATAAAAAAAATCGTGACTAAGGATTTTTAATATTTTTCATCTGCCTTTGAAACAACATATTAGGAGCCTTCTATTAAATTTTCAAGCTTTCGCAACCAACAAATAAAATTTTATTGATATTTCTAGAAAAAAAACTAAAAAAAATTAAAAATGAAAATGTCCCTAAACAGTTCCAAATAAATCAAAATATTTTGAAAATGTTATCGTGTATAGAAAATGCAAATATAAACAACCAGTGAAAATTTCATGTATCTACGGTCATTTGTTTTAAAGTTACACCAAAAACCAAATTCGATTTTTTGGAAAATCGATTTTGCGTAAAAATTCCCGTTTTTCCTTAATTTTTATGTTGTTTTTCCCGGCGCTTGTGAAAACTACTGGAAAATGTTTACTTTTGACCCCCCAAAGTACCAACTAGATTCACTTTCCTATCAGAAAAGGTACTATTGAAGAAAATCGAAGCACTTTTACTGTCCCAAAACGTGATGACAGACACAAAAATATAAAAATATAAAAATATAAAAATATAAAAAAAAAGGTGGGCAAGTGGGTGTCGCTCTGCTGTACAGTAGGTTACAAGTGGGTCACTGTATAATGGATGGTATTAAATTTGAATTCAATGATATAATATCATTGTATAAGAAAAACGATTCTGAGCGGTGACGGTATGTCAGTCTATGTATAAGACATATTATATACATATCTATGGTATATTGGTATTAAACAAAAAATTGACCTATTATAGGTACCTATAATAAATTACAAACTAATCATATCACAATATCCATTAGATACTTATAACGCGTTATACATCAACAAAAACCGTGATACTATCATAGATATATAATAGTACACTTTAGAAGTTTCAAGTACCCACGAATAGTATTATTCAATCACAACAAAATAACTAAAATCGTAATTCTTGGTTTAAATATGAAATTTTGTCTAAATTTGAAATTAAAATGTCTGTAAAAAATAAGTGTGTTTATATATTTTTTAGATTTTTTGGTTACAGTATGAATTATTTAAGAGAATCTTTGTTTTAAATTTTCAACTCTTAGTTATAAAAACTGAACATTTTATAATTTTTTAATTCCAACGATTGATAATTTTCGAGATTTTGATAAATTTTGTCAAAATTCCAAATTTAAATGCTTATAAAAAAAATCGTGCCTATGTATTTTTAATATTTTTCAACTGATATTGTAACAATATATCAGGAGCCTTGTATTAAATTTTTACACTTTTTGGCCCAACAGATAAAACTTTATTGATATTTATAGAAAAAAAAACTAAAAAAAATTGAAAGCTGTAAATGTCCATAAACAGCTCAAAAAGAGTCAAAATATTTTCAAAATTGTATGGTGTATAGGAAATGCTAATATAAACATTCAGTGAAATTTTCATGTATCTACAGTTATTCGTTTTTGAATTACAACAAAATAAGGAAATCGCTACATGAGAAATCGAGTGAAAATCCAATGTTGTAAAAATTTGAATTTCAAACGCTCATAAAAATTTAATTTGACTGTCCGGTAGAGATTTTTTTATTGATAAAGGTAGATAATCTTATAAGGAATCTTGTGTTTCATTTTCAAATCTTAGATTTAACAAGAAAAATTTTTATGAATTCTTAACTCAAAATAATTTGCTAATTTTCGTGATTTTTCCATATTTTGTCAATTTTTGAACTTTAAATGCTTATAAAAAAAAATTGTGACTAAGGATTTTTAATATTTTTCATCTGCCTTTTAAAAAACATATTAGGAACCTTCTATTAAATTTTCAAGCTTTCGCAACCAATAAATAAAATTTTATTGATATTTTTAGAAAAAAAACTAAAAAAAAATGGAAAATGAAAATGTCCCTAAACAGTTCAAAATAAATCAAAATATTTTGAAAATGTTATCGTGTATAGAAAATGCAAATATAAACAACCAGTAAAAATTTCATGTATATACGTTCATTTGTTTTAGAGTTACACCAATAACCAAAATCGATTTTTTGGAAAACCAATTTTGCGTAAAAATTCCTGTTTTTCCTTAATTTTTATGTTGTTTTTCCCGGCGCTTGTGAAAACTACTGGGAAATTTATACTTTTGACCCCCCAAAGTACCAACTAGATTCACTTTCCTACCAGAAAAGCTACTGATGAAGAAAATCCAAGCATTTTTACTGTCCTTAAACGTGATGACAGACACAAAAATATAAATAAAAATATAAATAAAAATATAAAAAAAAACATACATCATTGTAAAACCAATACATTCATCGCTCCGCTCAGAATCTAAAACATACATCATTGTAAAACCAATACATTCATCGCTCCGCTCAGAATCTAAAAGAGACCAACTAAGGGTGTTTACGGCTCTCTTAAAATTGAAATGCATTATTGTATTTTTTTGTTATCAAGTTTTAGTGGAACTTGGTTTAGCCCAAAATGGTCGAAATTTTATTCAAATTTAATATCATATTTTCTTAGGATTTCTTCAGTTATTTTGTACTTTATTTCTTGAAAATGATTGGGAAATTCAAAAATAGGACTTTAATTAATTAATTAATCAGTTAATTTTCTACCCTGAAAAGTGTTTTCCAAAGAAACGGAAATCATTATTATTTTTTAATTGATTGCTACATTTTTATTTAAGTTTTTTTTTATTTATCGGTAATAAAAAAAGTATGAAATCATTTTATATGTATAAAATAATTTACCATTCACGTATTTAAAACATATATTCGAATTTTTTTTTTTTTTGTAAGCATTTAATATAAGTAATATAATAATAATAATAAATAATACATTTTTTATTCTAGTAACAAGAAATAATATATGGTACAACAAAACATTAGAAATATTACTAGAAAGTTACTCTACACTGAAGAAGAACGAAGATCAATTTTGTACTTGCGTCAATATCAATTTTAAGGATAATTTATAATGAGTTTGTATATGTTTTTAAAGGTTGATAAATTAATATTTTGTATTTCACAGCTTTTTTATCGATCTGCAATTGTTATTTTGATATCAATTATTTAATATCATTAAATAGTAGGTAGCTAGATTGTTTTATCGATCATAATTTGACATAACTAATGTCTAACTTTTTTAATTCAATATATAGGTAGTATATAAATATTTTCGATTGTTTATTCAATAATAACTATTATATGTTTTATGGATATTATAAATGTAAATATGATATTGGTCTGTAGTTGAGTTCTTTGGGTCACAATAATGGTGGGGGTTCAATTCCAAAATCATGTATTACAATCGACGAATTATTAGCGTCCACCACTGATTCAATTCTTCCTTTACAGTAAAAACA